TCTGTCCAGAAACACACACCACTGCTTTCTGGATTGTAAATGGAGGCATGAGAGAGAGAAGCTGCCTAGGCCTCTGCTTTTACTGGGTTTCTCTCATTTAATACCAACCAGGGCCAAATCAGTTACTTGAACTTGTTCCTCCCAGGACTTCGTTTTCAAACTCTAGGTTCACCTGGAATGAAAAGAAGCTCAACTTGAATGAAAGGAATAACCATGTAGGGAATGTGGACTTGTAGTCTGTTTTGAAACCCTGGGATCCTATTTCTGGTATGCTGAATTATTTTCTTTTTTTCTTTTTATGTATGCACTTCTCACCTGCATTAAAAGTACTGTTGCATCAAACAGTTGGATTTCTTGTGTCATGTTTTTTACTTCTCCTGTTTTCCTTTTTTTGCATTTTCATACAAGTTTTTTGTGAACTCTAAGATATTTACTAGCAGGTCATTAGGACATTCCCATCTGTCCTTCCTCTCTTGTGTCCCACCTTTCCCCTTTGCTGCAAAGAGCAAGTAACTGTTACCCCGTAAGGATGCACCCTTGAATGTTGTACATCTCCCAGAGCCCTGCTCCTCTTCCCACAGCTCCTGATCTTGGTTCTCCAACTCGCTGCCAGGGTTTTGACCTCCACTCCACAAGTTGTGTCCTGAGTAGGCAATGAACAGGGGAGCCATGAATTACATTTTTTTTTTTTTAATGGAATGCTATTTTGCAATCCAGGGGTGCTGAACACCTAGAGTAAAATTTTAGCTTTATAAGATCAGATGAAACTGATAAAGCATTAAGAGGTGACTAGAGTGCTTTGATGTCTTGATCCAAGAAACTCTCACATAAAGATAGAAGATCTGTTATTTTCTTTCTTTTCCATGCATATAATGAAGATGAGTGCCATGAAAAGAAGTAAAGTCTGAAACCCAAAGTATCTAACTCAGGTTAGATACTAGCTACAGTTGATCTCTCCTTGAGTGCATTACATGACTTGAGTGCATTGCATGACTGAGAGTAGATTCAGGCTAGACATCAGGAGGTGCTACTTCACTGTCAGGGCAGCTAGGATCTGGAACCAACTTCCAAGGGAAGTCATGCTTGCCCCTACCCTCAGGGTCTTCTAGAGTAGGCTAGACAGACACCTAGCTGGGGTCATTTGACCCCAGCATCCTTTCCTGCCCATGGCAGGGGGTTGGACTAGATGATCTGCTTAGGTCCCTTCTGACCCTACCAGCTATGAAGCTATGAAACCAGAAACATTAATAACAGATCTCTGTAAATAATTCTTAAAATTCTTGACTTCCAAATATGTCACTTAAATGAGTGCACATGATACACAGGTTCATTCAGGGTTTTGTTTGTTTGAATGTGGCAGTCTTCAGGAAGAATTGCCTTTTGATTGGGACACACAATGGAAGGGAGGGGCATCACCATTGAAGACTATACCTTGTTTGCTCAGGGCTGCAGAGGGGCGGTCAGGAAGGCAAAGGCGGAGATGGAAGTGGGACTAGCGACCCAGATCAAGGACAACAAGAGGTCCTTTTTTAAATACATAGGGGGGCAAAAAGAAGGTACCCAGTAATGTGGGGCTTTTGCAAGACATGCTAGGAAATCTGATTGTCACATCAGACAACAAGGCTAACCTATTTAATGATTTCTTTGCCTCCATTTTCCTCAACAGGGACCAGATCAGCCCGTCCGCTGGGAACCCCTCAGGTCCTGGGGGAGGCACACCAGGCCTAGGGTCAGTGAGGCTCTAGTCAGGGAACTTCTGGAGGGGCTGGATGTATTTAAATCAGCTGGTCCTGATGACCTTCACCCCAGAGAGCTGAGGGAATTAGCAGAGGTCATTGCAGGACCCCTGGCATGGCTTTACGAGCACTTGTGGTGCTCTGGTGTGGTGCCAGAGGACTGGAAAAGGGCCAATGTGGTTTCCATTTTCAAAAAAGGGAGGAAGGAGGAACTGGGAAACTATAGACCTGTTCGTCTTACCTCGATCCTGGGTAAGCTTTTTGAGAGAATTATCCTGGCGCATGTTCAACATCTTCATCGGTGACATGAACAAGGGGGTAGAAAGCACCCTATTCAAATTTGCTGATGACACTAAGATGTGGGGGGAAGCGGGCACGCTAGAAGGGAGGAACAGGCTGCAATCGGACCTAGACAGGTTATGGGGTGTGCAGATGAGAACAGGATGGGTTTCAACACTGACAAGTGCAAGGTGCTGCACCTGTGGAGGGGGAGGGGGGGAGAACCAGCAGCATACCCACAGGCTGGGGAACTCCCTTCTTGTCAGCACAGGGGCAGAAAGGGATCTTGGAGTCATTATTGATGCCAAAATGAACATGGACCGACAGTGTGGGGAGACGGTCAGGAAGGCCAACCACACCTTGTCATGTATCCACAGATGCATCTCAAGCAGGTCCGAGGAGGTGATCCTCCCCCTCTGTGCAACACTGGTCAGGCTGCAGTTGGAGTACTGCGTCCAGTTCTGGGTGCCGCACTTCAGGAGGGACGTGGACAACATGGAGAGGGTCCAGAGGAGGGCCACCTGCATGATCCAGGGACAGCAGGGCAGGCCCTACGAGGAGAGGCTAAGGGACCTGAACCTGTTCAGCCTCCACAAGAGAAGGCTGAGGGGGGATCTAGTGGCTGTTTACAAACTAGTCAGAGGGGACCAGCAGGCGTTGGGGGAGTCCCTGTTCCCCAGAGCGCTACCAGGAGTGACAAGGAATAATGGTCACAAGCTGGCAGAGGGGAGATTCAAACTAGACATCAGGAGGCGCTACTTCACTCTCAGGGCGGCTAGGACCTGGAACCAACTTCCAAGGGAAGTGGTGCTGGCTCCTACCCTGGGGGTCTTTAAGAGGAGGCTAGATGAACACCTTGCTGGGGTTGTTTGACCCCAGTGCTCTTTCCTGCTTTTATATTCAGACATAGACACAGCTTTATATGTTTTTTCTACATACCTTAAGGTAGGAGGTGTGGCTTTTATATATATATATACCAGTTGTGGTAAGTGCTGGTATATATATCTATATCTCAGCAGATTTGTGCTTCCAAAAAATTATTTTCTGTGTGTCCATCAAAAAGTGTATCTGAAGCACCAAATTTGAAAAGCAGGGTGCTGTGCTCTGCTGAGACAAAGCCCTAGTCTATATGTTCATGCTTAATTAGAAAGGAAACAGGCGTTAATAACTTTTTCTTCTGTGTCAATAAGTCTGTGAAATGGGCTGAATATGCTGGCATCTGTGAAAGAAAGCTTTTGTATTGATTCTTTTCCGGAAGAGGGAGTGATTATTTTGCACCCACAAGTGAGCAGAGATGAAAGGATCTGCTTAAGCGGGATACTCAGAAACGTGTTAATGGTCTTGTGGGACAAGACAGGGGCTCAGGAAACTTGTTTTCCATTCATAACTGCACCGAGACTACTTTGTTCAGGTTGACTTTCAGGAAGATCTCAGCACCCAGCATGCTTAACTGTAGATAACATCTGCCCTGGTGGATGTTTGGAAAAGGATGAACCAGGGATAACAGCTGTAAAGTTTGGGGGCATTTATTTTGAGTAGGAAAAGCAGCTGTGTTCAGGTCAAGCTTAGATAATGGGAAAACCTTTAAAGATCCCCCCCCCCACACACACACAAACAAACACTTTTTGCATCAAGACAAAACCAAGGCTGTTCTGAACTGTTTGGCAAACAGGATCAGAAACAAAATTTTAAAAAGTGAAAACCAAGAAACCAAGCAAAGTATAAAATATAATCAAATCAACCCAAACCAAAAGAGAGAAATGCCCCTGTCCCAGAATAAAATGATTGAGGGCAGGTTATCTCAGAGGAATTCAGCTCCTAAAACTGGAATCTTTACTAAGCACGTACAAAAGGCAGTTTTTTTTCCTGGGATGCAGGAGAGCTAGGTTTAAGCCTCTGCTTCAAGGGATATTAATTGTTTATACAAAGCTGATTAGTCCCATCAGACAAAACAGGGTACCACACCCCGGATTAGCCGATAGCCAGAAGGCCAGGACTTCTCTTCTTCACTTTCCCCTGTGTCGTCATTATTTCTGCAGGGGTTTAGTCTTTCTGCCTCTCTCCAGAACTCACAATCCTTAATATAGGTGCAGTAGGAGTGTAGTCTGTCACGTGCATTATCATAACTCTTCCTTTTTTTGTTGTGAGAAGTTTTAATTACCTATTGCAATGTCTCAAGGGACAACTAATTCACCCTCTCTCTGTGCTAACTTACTTTTAGCAGCAATTTCTTTCATTTGTGCCAAATGCATCATAGTCTATCCAAGGAGCATTTATGTTTTTAAACTAATGCTGGTGGATCTTCTGAAAGGAAAATCTCAAGTGCTAAAGTGTTGCATGCATGTAAGTGTTTGCATCACTGGGTTTTAGAAGGGTGTTGTGGAGGTTGAAATAACATGCTAGCACATTCATGAAGTATCAATTAGGGAACCTTCATTGTCAAATATCCATCAGGGAGAGTAGCATCAACACACCATTAAAGGTTACATGGAAAAGATGACTTGTTAAAAGATGGAAGACTTATTAAAACCTGAATAGAGGGTAATTATCTCTGAAGCCCTTGCAAATATTAATGAAGTTTACTTATTTCATTTTTTTTAGCCCGTTGTTGCTTTCCAGTTGGAAGATGTTGCAACTTCCTGTCTTCAGGAAGAAACTTTCTGTTCAGTGGGATGAGTACCAAAACATGGAGTGGGAGCAAAACTTCCCTTCCATGCATGGGCCTATGCAACTGAGCTGAATTGCTGTTCAATATGTGGCTTGAGTAGTACACAAGAGTGAAAACTATCTAGTGTGGTGTGCATGCAAGCAATGGAGGAGAAAGGAAGACCAGCAGACAGACTTTGGGGTAAAATATCATTTTTATTCTGAGATGGGGAGAACACAAAAGCACATGGGGTAGAAAGAATAGATTTCCAGGCATTTGGTAAGGATTGCAAATAATTCTCCTGTACAAGGTAATACCTTTATTGCAAGATGTTTGTCTTTCTTTCCCGCAGCTGAAGAGTTTGACAATTAAGTCTTGTTTTCAAACCACCCACATGATTTATTTGACCAGAGCCAGTGTCAGATAAGGCAAAGCACAGTGCAAGCATAAGATTAAGCTGGGCAGCCATTAGATAACTGATCTAAAATAAAGGGCAATATGAGCTATAGATATCTATATTTCTATCTCTATATATAGGCCTGGTTTTTAGAGGTGCTGAATGCTTACAGTTCTTACTGACTTTAGTTGGAGTCATGGGCCTCAGCACTTCTGAGAACCAGTCCCTTAGCTCAGCCATGAATCTGGACCTTGACTTTCAGTCACTGTATCTAAATTGTACCATGGCTACTTCTTCTGGGTTTAATATGCCCAGCGCTTTCCAAACCGGTTTGTATTGCAAGGATGCATCCAATGGGAAGAGTAAGTATGTGAATATTTAGGAACATACCGAGACAAGGGTCTCGGAATAATTGGGGGTGCAATGGTCTCAGCGCATGGCTCCAAACTTCCACTGACCGCTGTGGTCAAAGGTACCGAGGCTGGCATTTCAGCTGGCACAGTGTCAGCTGATGCTGTGGATGCCACTACACTTTCCTGAGGGCAAGTGGTGAGAATTGGTCCCGGGAAAGTGACAACCACTGGTGGCGGGTAGATGATCACTCTTGAGTCAGGACAGGTGATAACACATGGCTCATTGTCGGTGACAGCCTGTGGCTGTGGGCAGTTCACTTCGCATGGGTTGGAGCACCCTATTCCAGAAGACATCTCTCAGCGATGGAGGACCACCTGAAATAAATGGTAGGGTGAAAAATAAGTAAAAGACACAACTTCCAATTGAATAAGAGGTTCTACAATAAGAGAAAGGTGATGTAGATAGTGTGGGAACCTTGTCATGGAGAAAGTGTAGATAAGTGCATCACCTTTCCTTGATTCCTGGTTGTGTGTCTTGACTATCTCCACTTCACTTACCTTCTTCTCTCCCTAATCAAACCCCTTTCCCACCATTCTCCATCCCTTTCACTGTCTTCATCACACAGCAAGGCAAGCAACCTCCCTGTTCCTCTGGGTGTTGCCCATGAAACAGCCTTCATCATCGACAACACTTTTTACAAACACTGCTTTGATTGTGGGACCTATGTCTCTCCTCTCCTCCCAGCCTCTGGCTGAGACATGAAAATCAAGGGGCAAAATTTCAATACATAGCAGAGCTCTTTGAAAATCTGGATGCAGTTCCCCTGGTCAAGGTCACACATGCAACACATGCAAGAGTAAAGAAATGGCATTTCCCTATCCAGGGTTAACTCCAACTGGACTTTCCTAGGGTGAAGACAGCTCTCCATTCACCAAACTCTACAGTGTTGTTCATGTTTCACATGGAAATATGCCTGAAATTCTCCTGCTAAAACACACAAAGATAAAAACAGCTAGACATGAACAGCGGGTTAATTGTAATAAGTAAATGCACACAATCAAAGATTGCTACCATGAAGACTTGGTGTTTTTAATCCAGTTTAGAAACTGTTCTAGGGTGTGGCCTAAAGTAATAAACCTTTTTTCTCTCCTTCAGATAAAATCTTGACTTGTCAGCCAATTCTGCTCAGCCTGTGAGACACACTGGTTACTGACTCTGTGTATCAGCAGTACTTGCTCAAGGTGAATGAGTAGAAAATATTCTTTTACTCTCTTTTCAGCCTTATATTCCTGCCATTGCCATCAGACCATGAGAAGAATGAAAAATATGGGTGAAAGCGAGTTAAAAATGATGACTGTAATAATTACACCCACAATATAGACTATTTCTATAAAGGGCAGGCAGAACATTCAACTTAGCTTAGAAGTTCATAGCTCAACACTTTAATTAATTACGATTTTATCTCAGCATGGAGATCAGAGTGCAGCCCTTCCATTTTTGAAGCTTGAGAGTCAGCAACAATTGCTGACATAAAAACAAGAGAGGAGGATCTGGAGCTAGTGACACACACAGAAGCCTAGGATTGCTAGACCAGAGTCCATCAAATCTATGGGTGTGGGCGCACAACTTAAGTTATATCCCTGATTTCTCTTCGCAGTATGAAGCAGACACATGAGCAGTTCTCCTGGGGTAGCTGCCCACCGAAGGCTTTATTACTAGGTAGCAAGGGAGCCAGGAATAGCCACATGGTGGGTTCGTCTACATGAGATGCTTACTGCTTATTAGACTAATAACACTGTGTAGCAATGTGGTGGTTAAAAAAAACATGCTAATAGCCTACTGAAAAGTGTTATTAAGCCAGTGCACAGTAAGCATCAAAAAATAACCAGACACTGTGCATTTAGTCAGCATTTTATTAAGCAAGTACTGAACTAAATGCGCAGTATCTAAGGCACATTCATGAACATGTAGACATGACCACTATTGAACAAATGCCAACTCCAGATGAGGGCTAACAGAGTAAGACAAATGTACTGTAGTCAATTCCCCCAGGATAATTTTTTTTTTTGTAATTATTTCAAGAGCTGCCTTTACCCCATGAAACAGCAGCTCACTGCATAGTCAGCCAGGTTGTGCATTGTGAGTCTGTACTACTTTTTCTACAGAGTAAAAGTCTTTGTACCCTGTTTATTGCATTTAAAATGCTGTTGAGTATCAGCTGCTTAGGAGTGAAGTATAAAGTGCCTGAAATCCTCCTCTCTGGAAAGAAAAATGGCCAAAACTGAGTGCTTTTGAATATCTTTAGCTGAGAAGATAGCTTTGACCTGAAGAAACAGAATTCCTATAAATATCTGCCAAATGTTAAGTTTCATCTATATAAATAAAATCAAGAACAGCAGTAAATTTACATTTCAGTTGCTTTACATTATATATATATATATATATATATAGGCAATGCTGCTTATCTATCATTATAGACAAACCAACTTGAAAACACCAATGCCATTTTGCTTTAAATGTGTTAAATGAAAGCTTGTCTTCATCATTAAAGGGAATCATAAAGCTGAATGCTCCAGTGGTTTATGCTTATGTCCAAAAGCAATGTTTACAGCTAGTATCAAAGCACTGGTGAGTTTTTCCAGAGTTGTCTAAAGGATTTAAATTCTCAATCCCCAAATAACTGAATTCTCAGCCCCTAAATTAACACAATTGAGAAATCCCAAACTTCTGCACAGCTTTGAAACAAACCTGCTTTGCATGTTTAAAGCCTGTGATGGAGAACAATGACCAAAACACATTCACAGAAGGAAACTCTAGGATTGCTGAGAGCCACAAGAAGCTTGAGCAGGATCCAACCCCAGCCTAATAAAATCCACTCAAATAATACTGGAGAGTTATAAAAAGTTTAAATCAATTCAGACTTACTTAGTTCACCAGGGAGAAAGAATTGATAGAAGTGGTTAGACGAACCCTGAGTGGCAAACATTTTTATATGCCTCTTTCAACTGCCTGAGGGATCTGGGACACCCTTTGTGCAAGAGCTCCTAATTGGTTTATGAACTCCCCCAATGGCTGCACTTGTTCTGCCTGCTGATTATGCCTATTACCCAATTCCCAGCCTGCTAGTTCCTTTCATCTTAAATCCTCCTGGTTTCACTCTACTAGGAAACTATTTTAACTCTGCTTGCTTAGCTCTTTAAAAACAACATCGCCACACAAAGGCGGTCCAGAGAGATGCCGTGACTCAATGAACCAGGATTTTGTTTCAGCAGCGTAAATGAAGGCTAGCATCTTGCCGAGAGCATCACAGAGTTTTACCCTTGCAGCTTCTACAAGTGTGCCACTTGCTGGTGGTCTGAACCAGCCCCCATTTTAGTCCATGGGCATCTTTCCAAGGAATTCAGTTGAGCAATACCATTCAGTTGACTAATAGCAGCAAGGGAAGTTTAGGTTGGATACTGGGAGGAAAAAAAAAAACCAACACTTTCTCACTAGGAGGGTGGTGAAGCACTGGGACAGGTCCCCAGAGAGGTAGCGGAGTTTTCATCCTTGGAAGTCTTTAAAGCCACACTAGACAAAGCCTTAGCTGGGATGATGTAGTTGGGGCTGGTCCTGCCTTGAGCAGGGGGTTGAACTAGATGTGACCTCCTGAGGTCCCTTCCAACCCTCACCGTCTGCGATTACATGATTTTATGACTATAGAATGGCGTCATAAGAAAGGGTCCTATGATCTCGACCTTTGAGTTTAATTCCTGGATCGGGGAGTACAAGACACAGGTACCTCTTAAGTACCACTTAAACCTAAATATAGTGGCTTAAGTGGGACTCAAATTTTCTTGGCCTGTTGCTCAGGAGGTCAATCATAAATGTCATCCTTTAGCAATTTGAAATTTTCTTGTGCAGGGACCTGCAGTCATGTTTCTAGTGTCTTGGGATCAGGGATATGAGAGACCATGGTAAGATAACATCATGTTTCACATGGCAGGGTGTGTGGGTGTACCAGCTATTACTTCAATAACAGCTGTAGCAGCTATTACCTCAACTTTTCATTACCTGACTCTAAGGAGTCAGCATAACTGTCATGTTTGCCAGACAAACTGCAGTATTCAAATGTAAACTGCTCTAGATGTACAGAGATCAGTATTCACATATCATTAAAAGCTATTTTAAATGTAAACATGAATAATGTATTAAATCATTACAAGGAAGTGATTTTTTTTTTCTGGGCCATGAGCAAATACTACCTGGAGCAGGAAATATGTTTGTATGGAAAACCATTTACACACTTCATTTCATTTTGGTTTCTTGGTAGCTAGAAAATCATGTCACTAGATATCTCCAGGAAGAGGAATTGCTCTTCTATTGTGTTAATGCTAAAAGCTGTGTTACATGTGTGAAATTCCATCCCTGTGAATGGGTTTTAGGACAGCATATTGAGTTCTGACTTGGGTTGAACATTTGGCTCCATTTGACCTATTCAAGGTCACACAGGCAATCTCTAGTGAAGCCAGAAAATGAACCTAGCTCTCCTTATCTAAACCAAGTTCCCTCACCACAAGATAAGTCATTTTCTCCTAAGCCCATGTGGCTGAGTTAGTTCAAGCTATCCTGTATTATCCACTGCCATTTGTTTTTTAACTGTGTCCTTCCGGTCCCTCAAATGGTTTAAGTAATAGCAGTAGGACAATGAAGGACAAAGACTGGGTTAACAACACTGATTGCGAAAAGTAAACACAACAGTACAGCTTATTAATATCATGCACACCTTGTAATTTAAAACCATCTCAGAAAATTATAGGTTTGTGTTAGACATGGATGATCTTTATCAGATCTATTAGCATTTCACTTTTATGGGCAAACCAGTTCTTCCAAACACACAAAGCAGCTGTTTAGTTTCTAAAGCCAGTGAGTCAACAATACTCAGTAATGAATACACAATCAAAAAAAAAGTGCTCAAGAATACATCCTCCACTGATGTGTATCTCTCAACTTCAAAGGAATTGCACTGACATACCAACTGTGGATATATTACATGAGCAACAAAGCTAAACTTGGTGGTTTTGCATGGTAGTTGGCCTCTGTGGCATCTCCCTTTTACCAATATGATGGTTTTCTCCATCATGGAGAAATGGACCAGGCAAACCCCAGGAAGGATCCGTTTAGAGACAGAGATAAAGGCTGATTGGCCATGTTGCAGGTAAGCAGGGGAGGATTGCCTGTACTATCAATTCCCAGAGGAAATTAGACTAACCCAGGATCTTGCCATGTTTTGGGGCAGATGCAAGATATTCCTTATTGAGGAAATTATTGCATCATCACTGGGTTGTTTTCTCCTCTTTTAGGCTCAGCCTAAGCAAAATGTCCTATTGCTTGGGAAGGAAGAAGTCAAGACAAAAGACTTCATGATTCCCACTGGGGATCCTGGTATAGAAAATTAAGAACAAAGACATTCATAGGTTGGCTATTCTCAACTATTTCAGAAGAACCTGACAAGAAACAAGTAGTAGTGAAGGAGTGAAGGAAATGCAAAACTAAATTAAATAAATGGTTCTTAGCAATAGCTAAATACTGTGATCTCCCTTTTAACATAGGGGGAAGATGAAGAGGAGAGAGGTTATCCATTCACAGATTGCTATATAAAATCCTGGCCTTCAGCTCTCTAGGCTTTATGATTTAATTAGATCATCTGCCCTACATTGATTTTCTTTATTCATCAAAGTGAAACCCAGGGGGAGGTGTAAGAAGGACACTTGCAAATAAACAAGCTTGTAGACAATCCATGCCATCAAAGAAATCCTCTGAGAACACAGAAGACGAGATGGTGGGGAAAATTACTAGTAGAAATTGAGCGCTATAGGAAAATATGATCCAGAATATATGTCCAGGTCTCCAGCAGGGATGAATCAGCCCATGGAGCCATGCATGACCTGACCCATTCCATTTCCCAAGGTTATTTTAAATAAATAAGCAGAAAGGAAAGTTACTTTTTCATGAACGTTGAATAACCCACATTCTGAGGCAATCACTCGATGAGAGGAATGGTATGCACACCCTTGATATGTCAACTGTGCTGTGATGCTATTACCCAATGCTTGGCGTCTAAAACTGGGCCCCTATTATTATTATACTGTTACAGTGATTTGAATATAGAACAAATGAAGGTGTGTCTGTGAAATGCTGTGAATCCTCCCAACATCCCCATGGAGTTTAATTTTCCCCTCAAGGACACCTCAGAAGCTAGGGATAATTTGTAGCATACAAGCCATGAGTTAATAAAACGTTAGGTCTGGTCAGAAAAAAAGAATGCAAGGAGACAGTGTTGCATTAGTCCATCAAAATAGGTCTGTTTTGCAGAGATGATTTGACTTTTCCAGGGAACGCTGGCAGGATGACAGCACGGCCCTGCCTACCAGCTGATTTCAGTTGGGAAACTGCCCAGTTTCCTACCAGGCAGGATGCCCAGTGCCTTGGCTGCTAGCTGCTGGTGCTTGCAACCTCCTGACCTTTCAGTCACCCACCTGGCAAGCTGCAGAGGAGCTAGGACTTGTTCAGGCTGCTCAGAGTCTCAAAGGTGGCTGCAGGGTGGCAAGTGGGGCGGACGATCCCCAGGTCACAGATCTCAAGCCTCTCCTGAGTTGTCAGCAACTGTGGCCAACTAGGTCCTTCAGTGTAGTGGCACCAAAGCTGTGCTCCTGCCTGAACATCCAAACCCCAAAGTCTAATGGATGGAAAACCATTCTGCTCCTAACAATAGGATCTTTAATCAAACCTTGTATTTGGGCTTCTGGCTCAGGTCTCTTTACTTCTGGCAGCCCCTTACAATTGCTGCCTGGGTTTGAAAGTCTGTCAGTTCTGGCCCTGCAGAAGATTATCTGCTCCAGCTTTGGCCTGGCCTCCTCTTTCTCCTCAGGGTCTAGTATCTGGAGGAAATACTCCTCACTGCTCCCGCTGTCTGGTTAACCTTCCAGCATGGAGGCTCTTGTAAGCACCCCTGTGTAAGGCGCAGGAAATAAACTTAAACAGTAATTCCAAGGGAAATATATGCCTGAAGAAGGGTGTTCATGCCCAGAATCTTGCAAAAAACAATTTTCCAGTGATTTAGTTGGTCTAATAAAATATATCACATCTAGCCAAAGAACCTTGTCTGCCTATGTCCTTAGACCAACATGGCTACAACCAACAACCCTTAGGGAAATATAAGACACTTTATACCCTACTGTCTTTCTCCCAGGTCTAGTCTAGCTCTGAATCATCCCATGTTTGGATTTTCTTTCAAGACCTACCGTGAGACACCGCCTCCTTTCCCACCAGTTCACCTCTCAGTTTGCTTCTGCAAACACTACTCCTTTCCTTCCAGCTGAGTGTGAGGGGGGAGGTGGGAGCCCCCACAGTGTGGCATGAACCCCTGATCAACGTGACCCAAAACTTACCTTAGGAACTGAGATGAGCAGCATCTGGGAGGAGACGCAAGTGCAGGTTGGACATGTGGCCTCTGAGCAGCATGGGCTGCTCAAAAGGTGGCTGGGGAACCAGATGAGCCAGTTCTGGGAAGCCGGGAGCAGGATGCCAGCTGTGGAGCTGGTGGGCTCCAACTCCAGCTGCAGTGGCAAGGAGCCAGGCACCTGCCAGAGGACCCCAACCAGGGAGGAAGAAAGCAGTCTTGGGGGCCAACACAGGCAAGAGAGCCCCACAGAGGGGCAACAACTACGTGGGATGCTGCCAGGGAGCAGCAAGGCTCCAATCAGGGGCTTGGGCACTGTGGCTGGGGATGCCTCCTCCAGCTTGCAGGCATCCTCAGAGAGCCCCGCAGCAGGTAAAGCATGGGGGATCACAAGCCCCCAGAAGGAGGAAGTAGGTGATGCTGGCTGGAAGGACCAGGGCGACTGGACCGCAGGTCAGCCGGGCCCCAAGGAGGTGACACCAGGGGAGCTGGTAGAGGCTGGGCACAGGACGATTGCCTGTACCCATGCCTACTAGGAGAAAAGGGGTTGGATGAGTATCCCCAGAG